TCAAAGGAATATTCAGGTTAAATTTACACTAACTCTATTCAGAACAATTAAATTTAATCAGAAATTATCCAGTAATACAAATAATTGTTGCACAGGCCAATAAGCCTGAACAAGAATGAATCACTAACCATGAAAATATAGAAGAAATTAATTGACACTCCATTAAAGACATTGACATTATCAGTAATTCTCAATGCATTCAAGTTAGTATCAATAACTGTTTATGTTCCTAGTTCAATCTGAAAGATATGGGTTATGTAGAAGCTTTTACAGCAAGACAACAGTATATAATACAAGAGTTACTAAAAGTACTGTCCGCTGTGAGAATCACTGGAGTACCAGTAGTTATGTATCACAGTTATGTTTCATTACCAGCCTGTTAAAGCTTCAGGAAGCTCCCAACTACTATTCCATATGTTTTGGAAGTAAGTAAAAATCAGCGGATGTTACGAACGACAATATTACCTCAGTCTGAGGACTGAAAGCAAACTTTTAATTAAAAAAATTTAACCTAGCAATGCCAAGTCCACCACTAAACCATGTCCCTAAGAACCACATCTATGTATCTTTTAAATACCTCCAGGGATGGTTTAAATACCACCAGGGGTGGATTTATAGCAACAAAATACAGACAAAAGGAACCAAGACATGGAAGTAGAAATGCCTGTTCAGAATACATAGATTTGTAAAGTAAAGTGCAAGTAAACAAGCTTTTCAAATCCGTCAGACTAGAAAACGTTGTATTAAGCATGCACAGCTCCCTTTGCAAACCTCACTGGAGTGACCCCGTACCCAGAGAACAGAGAGAAAGCTGCTCATTTGAGAAGACTCTGTGTCAAACCTGGAGCCTGCTGCTAAACTATGATACCCAAGCGAGGTGAAAAAGCACCCACATGGCTCACTCTAGTTCTACTAGCTGTAGTAGCAACACAAACCTACAAGCAATGCATCGAATTTTATCACTCCCTATGCAGCTTCTGCTTTGGGACAGCCTACACCGGGAGCTTACCTCTCTGCACAGGTTGGTTCTTAACGATTGTCTGGGGAAGAAACCCAACTCCGTGTTGTCTCTACCCACTAGGTGTCAGCAGAAGAAAGTGGACCGCCGGCATCTGCCAGCTCCAACTCTCATTTCCCCCCTCAGCTACCAACGAACACACAACTATTAAGTAATACAAACACCTTTGCACACACATGATAATTACACAGCTATTTCTGTTGAATATGCCCTACTTTTGTGAATTAGATATTTAGATCATGATAAAAACATTTCCTCTGCAAACAGCAAAAAAACAGGAATTAAAAAAAGAGTCATTCAAGCGAACAAAATGCTCACATTGGTATCCCTGCTAGAAATGTAGGTAACATTCAGGAAGATAATAACCTGCCTCAGTACAGCCAAGAAAACACAGAGCTGCCCATGTGTCAAACTGTCCTTAATAGTGACAGAGGTTTGTGGAGACTGTGAGCACACCACATGTAACCGACCTTCTCCCACACTTAAAATCTGATTTAACAGCAAACACATATACAGAGTAAGAAACATAACTGAATCAGTTATTTTGTTACATAAATCTTAGGATTAGACTTTCAGACTGCATTATCTGGATACGTTTTTTCATGCAGAAGTTCTAGTTATTAGTGAAGGCCTCAGAAAATTTAGCACAACAGTAACATCCTCACTGTCAGTGTGCTGGTTCATACATACATTACATAAACTTTGTGTCTTGAGAGTAAAAGCTTCTGAACAGAGTAAGAGCTCTTACTATGCTTATGTATAATGTAAATTTAAAATCTGTTCTGCGACGCATTCTAGGTCTACACAGAATAACGACAAATAGCTTCACACCATTTATTGCAAGAAGTCAACTCATACCAGATGAGATGTTCTATGAAATTACATTGTCTCATGAGACAAAAGCTATGAAGGGAGGAAAAGCTGCTGCTTTGAATTTATTTCCTAAATATCAATGGTTTTAAATGAACAGTCAGATTTCTTTATTAATGGGACATCAAATGCAAAGAATCACATCACATTTGGTATTGTTTATGCCCTGTATTTAAGACAAGCAAAGGTGATGAGAAAAAACCCACACAACAGAGGTATTTAAAAATATGTTCTTTTCCTAGAGGCTATTTGCTTCTCTATTTGTCTCAGAAACATCAAAACTATTGAATTTGCAACCCTTACACCAGTAACAGTTGCAAAATAATTTTTTTCCAAACAGACATTCAATTTTTAAAGGAAATTACAACAGCCAATGTGGTCCTTGTGGATTCCAACGCCTCAACAGAAAACAATGCAAGAGTTGCCGCACACACTTCAATATTATTCCACTATTCAACAAGAAACTCATTCCATATTTACGTGGCAAGATGCGTATCGTGACCACTTTGAGCACTTGTTAGCATAATTCACAAACTCAAGCAAACGGAGCTAATCAGCTGACAGGAAACAACAATGAACATAATTGCTGCGCAGAAGGGGGAACCGGGCGAGAGCAGAGCAGATTATTTCACGTGCAGCCTTGGAGGTGCAGCACAACAGAGAACGTGGGGCTTAAAATTGCAAGATGTCTTACTAATTGCCAGTTACCACACTTTGTTATTAAATCACAATCTCATTTTCTTTTGTGAACTTAGCAAGTACATTTCCTAATTGTTTTACCCACTACACACACTATTGGAGTTTTGCTGCATCTTTTCCAGATTATGTTTTCCAAGGGCTTTGAAATAGTTTTTAAGTGCGATGTTCCTAACAGCAACTAGACCAACCCAATACATTCTATGATTCTAAGCCTCTCAGTAGCTGTATTTACTGTTGGCATATTTGAAAATGGAAATTAAGCATAAAGTAGTTTTATGATCTGTCTAATACTTTGCAGGATGTCTGCGGCAAAACTGGAAATGGAATGCAGGTTGTTTAACTCTGGTACGTTCAACACATGAAACACTTGCATATTTGCTATATCTAAATCTTAATATCAGAATGTATAACCAGAAACTAAATTTTTAATTTATAAAAGGATTTGGGAAAGAAAGTCCCGAAAACTTCTCAATTATTAACATCAGATTTTATGACATGTTTATGCAATTATGTTTACAAGTTTCCTTTGATGGAACGATAAGCAAACTAAACCAAACAATTTCTTCTACTTCCTCAGGTTAGCTGTCCCTGGAAGTTGCGCTTTCTAAGGGCGTGCCATCATCAGCTGATTTCGAATGCTCATCTTTAACGTTCAGCCTTCAAAATACCAGATGGTATTTCCAGAGAAGCAATTTAAATTTTAATTTTTCTTCATAAATCCCTTAACTAGTTAATCTCACACACACATCCAGGCAAAGTATACACCAATATTCCCAGAGTTGCCTGGCAACTCCTGGGAGGAGCATCGCAGAACAAGGGAGGCTGCATGGATGAAGGGAAGTCAGTGCCTCCCCGCTATGGATCAAGGAGGCTTAGAGCCAGAGTGCCTTGCTGGCTGCATTTTTGTTATTTATACGGACAATGTTTTAAAATGCCTCTCATTATATCACCTTAGATGCTTTAAAAGCCCTACGCTTACACCCAGATACACACAAAGAAGTCAATACAGTTCATTTTTTCCACATGCGACACACAAATTCCCCCTGTAAGATGTGGAAGGACTCCTGCTAACTTCAAAAGTAATTTTTGAACTCTGAATATTAATTGTTGGAATGATGCTTATTTGATGGCAGCAACTGTACTGATTAAAATTCAAACTGAGCTATTTTTGCCTTCTTGCTTTAAAAATAACAGGTGAGACACTATAGTACGGAAGAGACTTTAGTTACTGAAACATCCTCAACCTCAAGAAAAATTTTGCCTGTAGTCCAACTTCTGGTCTTTTAACATCATGATTAAAATTAGTATTTGTCTCGATGTCAGATCTCTTCATTAATCTTCACAGAGCAGGAGAACACAAAACACAACACCTCTTCTCAGCTAGTAAGCCTTCATTCTCACTACTCATTTAGCCTCCCCAGTTACACTCGGAACGCAGCGGCTCCCAGTGGTATTCATGCTCTCCATTGCTACCACCAGTTTTCCAGCCTGCCTCCAAATGTTTGCAGATGAGAGAAGAAGGTATTACATGTTTTGTCCCCTACAGAGACCTTGTTAAAGAGCCATAGGTCTAAACAACAGTAGTTCAAATGAGCCTGTGAACACCACGCTGAGATTCATCACTGCATTTGACTTGCACATGTGTTAATTTCCCCTGCTTCAGAAACAGGGAACATAGAATATTTTGGAAATATTCTGTGGGTCACTCTGCAGTTAGTACCTTTCATCCCTCATGTTTCTGGAACATCTCTCATGACTTATACCTGAACGTTCCTCATCCTATTTACCACATCTCTAACTGTCTATCAGCAAAATTTACATACTTTAAAAGCAGAGAAAAAACGCTCCCCTGTTGAGACGGCACTTAATCATTTCTAAATGGAGATTAACTCTGAAGCAGAAGAGATTGAATTTTCCTAACAGAACATCTACTGTCAATAGTTACAACTCCAGGCATTCCTAATTTTTCTGTAAAATCACAACTTCTTTACTAATTATGTTCTTAAACTTCAGGATTCTATAAATTTGCATGTTTCACAGTTGGGGATGTATTGTGTAAAAAGTGTATCTTTTACTACCTCTTTTGCAGTGCGAGAAAGTGGTCAACTCTGCACTAGCTTCCTATGAGCATTAATTTACACTTTTTTATCATCTCTCTCCTAACTTAGCTGTCTGCAAAACCAAGCAACACCCACACCTTTCCATGAGAAGTTTTCTCCCGGTGTGATTGATCATGCTTGTCACCCTTCTTTCTTTTTTTGGACACTGGAACACTGTTTTCAGTACTAGTCAGCCTAAGAGCCACAATGCTGACCTTAGTAAAAGTAGGTTATACTACCCTTTTAATTCTCAATAGGTTTTTCCCCACCACAGCTGCAGATTTACATCTTACGCCTATTAATTTCCTACTTACGGGTTCAATTTTCAGGGCGTTTCTGTAGCTCCCAAAGAAAGATGCCTGTGCTTTTAGAAATGCTCTTGCAACACCATCTCCAGTGGTTGTAGAGACTTTCTTCAGTCTGTTCTTCAGTGCAGAAACCTGAAATCACACAACGGGTCTAGATCACCCTCACATCACAAACAAAGGCACATTGGGGCACAACTAAATAAAAACTGTGCTAACCCCAGCAGCAGTTAGAACAAAAAGTGAGATTGTGAATTCAGAGTTTAATTTTTCAGTTCTAAAAGCATTACTTTTCAAGCTGTTTTGCTTCTCTAAAATGATTGGATTCTATTCAGAAACCAATAGGAAAATAAAAGCTTCATTTCAGCTTTCCCTCCTACATAAAAGCCACTGTTACCATGCTCTTGACTACTCTTTTAAAGGTGGTCCCTGAAGTTCTGTGTCACTCTTGCTTAGAATCCCTGACAGAATTGCAGCTAAATTAATTCAAACATCAGAGGAACACAGAGTAGCTATTCTGCACATTTGGGCCTTCCACCACCACCGGGGCGAAGAGCAAGTTCTGTAGTTCTGAAAGTTTCTTTTTTCTTTTAAGGCAACGTTCCCTCGAGTTTCAGAGACTCTTTGGAAAACAACAAAATGAGAGTTTTATTTACGCATATGGTGAGTTCCCTGGGCCGGCTCCCAGA